AAACCCCCCTCCCCTCGTCCTCCACGCCCGACACATCGCCCCCCCCCCCAACCCCACTCCGACAACGTCGTGTCACCACCATCACTACCGCTACAGCCATCAGCACTACACCATCACGATCACCACCATCACTACCGCTACAGCCATCAGCACTACTACCATCACGATCACCACCTCTGCCATTCGATAAAACACCGCAACCAATCAGAGCAGTGAATTTAACATCATCAACGGCAACAACAACAACACCACCACCACCACCACCACCACCACCACCACCACCACCACCACTACCACTACCACCACGAGCACCGTCGTCCCGTCGTCCTCCCCTTCCCTCGTGCAATACTCCCTACCTCAGCTCGGCCGACGACACTCCACGCTCCTTCCGTTTTCCTCCTGTCTATTTTACACTTTAAAACACATTTCCCTCGAATCTGACGCGATTGAGTCGCTTTTTCTCCCCCGCCGAGGCCCAACACGCTGCTTGACTTAAGAGGATCATTTCCCGTAGCCAGATATATACAGGGAACGAATGGACAAACGGGGGGTTGAAGGGGAGTGGAGGGTAATGGGGAAGGGAGAGGAGCGAGCGACACGATACATCCGAGCATTAAATACTTGCGCTGAGAGCACTTTAAAAACTAAGATTCTTATTTGCATCGGGCTAGACACGACTTTAAAATAACTTGTACGAGAGCTTGGTTATTTACTCGAATGCAAAACAACACCGAGGACATTACCAGTTATTTCTCTTAACGGCTTACGTGATGTGGCATAAGGCATAAGAAATTGGAAGCCAGTATTCTACAACGACAACTCGGCTTCACTTCTTAATCATGATGAATTGACCGTACGAAAATAAAGATAAGGGCTTGTAAATGCGCGCGCGTGAAATAGAAAACTACATCGAGCTATGCTGTGTATTTAAAAATAAATCACACGGATGGGGAGACTCTCTGTGGGGCTTGCTCATAGCCAAAAAGACTGCTGAATAGGCTAATGCAACGTTATAAGAATTAAATAAGAAAGCCGTCGAATTATTTTGATAAATGAGCAGAGTGTGAGCAATGCAATAACTCAATTTTTTAAACACATTATCGCGTGAGAATTTTAACCACGTAGCAGCGCCTATTCGCGTTCCACGCTCCTCCTTCCCCCACTCCCACCCCCTCCACACCGTCCGAGACACATTTACCAAGGTATTCTCAAATTACCGTACCATCCCTTATGAGGTATAGGCATAGTTGTTTGAGATAAAAAGGAAAAGTTCGTAGGGTTTGAGATGAGATGCCGAAAAGGGGAAGCTTTTGGGAAAAGCTAAGGGGCGCGGAAGAAGCAGCGGATAAATTAAACCAACAACTCGCACGGAAAGACAGCGAGACGTGCCAATAATGAGGGGGCTGAAGAATTAGCCGAGACAGTCAACGGTGGATAAGCTCGAGGGAGTGATACAGAGATAGAGATAGAGAGATAGAGAGATAGAGAGATAGAGAGATAGAGAGATAGAGACATAGAGAGATAGATAGATAGATAGATAGATAGATAGATAGATAGATAGATAGAGAGAGAGAGAGAGAGAGAGAGAGAGAGAGAGAGAGAGAGAGAGAGAGTGATAAAGAGGGGAGGGAGAATTTAATGTTACTTTGCAGGATGAATAAACGGCAAATTGTTGGGCACGAGACTGAGGTACGAGATGGTTGGTATAGCCTGCTTGTTCAACCGTCGCTACTGCCGTATGGAGACGAATTTTTGCAGAAATTCAGTTTCTGGATAACGTGGCTGCTCCCTTAACACAACTTTAATAATCCGCTTAATTCATAAGCCGAATTTCGCAAACAGTAGCGACGGCGGCGGTCCCTCATTTACACGGTATCAAGCGAGCGCATCATAATGGCTTTTGAGATATGTAATGTCTTGGCGGCTAATTCGCCAAGCGTCGAAGAGATCGTGTTGCTCGAGAAGTTTATCCGTCCATTTGAGGAAGCGCAGCCTCGGCTACAAAGTATCGGATATAAAAGCCGCGAAGCCAGCGACATATATTTTGCATAAGAAGGAAGTCTAATTATAAAGAGAAGAAGTACTCGAACGCAAGTTTCTAATTAACCTATAGCTGCGCGCAATTCGTGCGCGCGCACGTGTGACGAGAAGAGGTGGGGACGAGACGGCTTCGGTCGGTGAGGGGAGAAGAGGAAATAATGGGACGGCGGTGATGGTGATGGTGATGGTGATGGTGATGGTTGGGGGGGGGGTTAGAGGAGGGACAAGCGACAACAATGAAAGAAAGGTATGGGAGGGAGTCGTTGGGCCCCGATCGAACGGTAAGTTGTGAGTCGACACGAAGGTAAATGTAGCAGGATCCGACGGCTCTTTAGTAAAGTTAATTTTTTAATGCTTTCAAAAGCTAAAAAGTGCCAAGATGATTTTCGATTCAAATATGGACGAATGCTAGTAATGCTAATATTGAATATGATGTCACGATTGGGTGGGCCATAATTTTCATGTTATCGAAAAATCGAATGAATTACAAAACGCCAGAGGTTGAATACACCTGCTACAATTTGCGTTACATTAGAGCATTTTCTCGATACATGTGACCGATATCGAGATTTTTGTTTCCAAACAAAATTCTAAACAAAACATCACCTACCTTTTATTATTATACACACATTGTTGATAATATATTATTAATATTAATAATTATTAAGATTTTTATTGTCAAAAAATTTGATTGAATAATGAGTTTCAAAGGCATAAATGTCAATAACGAAGAGTTTGAAAAGTCTAATAAATTAATTTTGATGTTAAAAAATTCTTAATGATATTCCCATGCATTAAGTGAAGGTTTCTCAAAAT